CCCCATTACAAATGTTGAACTCCCTCCCAAACAAATTTCCTTGTGGCCCTCTTGATAAGCCATTTGGACACCCTCCTTCCAAGTGTTTCTTCAAACTATGCATCTCTAATTAACTCTCTATTGATAGAGAATTATCAAATATAAGTTCAATTTAATAGGTTGAGGTTACCATCGGAGTTACTCGCTTAATACATGAATCTACAACTCTTAGGGGTGGTTCATTAGTTGAGTTTGATTTTTAGTCATCGAGAGATCTCAAGTTCAATCCCTAAGAGCTATTTATCCTTATTCTTCAAGAACATGCTTTAACCCAACTCAAGTAACAATGATAATCGTTGAATTTGAAAGAATAGTCAGCGAAAATCTGCACAAATTCCACCTACTCCCATCACACCCAACTATCCTGAATTTATACACCAAATCTCTACTATGAGTAGGTAATGCCTGGTTGATGGGCCAGATAAAGCCCACCTTAAGGGCCTGTAGTACTGCAATAATCTGTCACCCACACCGGTTTTCTTGAGTAGTCTAGGATCCATTAGCCCACCAGAGGCTGGTCCTTCCCTCATCATTTGCCATAACACTTAGGACTAAACTCTATATTTTGGGCTTTTGACTAACTTTACTGGAAAAGGGGAGCAGATAGCTCTTAGGCCGCCCAAATTTTGAGCTCAACTGGGCTCTGAAGGATCCATTAGTCCAAGCCACTAGCCCACCAGAGGCTAGTCGTTCCCTCATCATTTGCCATAAGTCTGGAGACTAAACTATATATTTTGGGCTTTTGACTAACTTTACTAGAAAAGGCGAGCAGATTGCTCTAAAGCCTTCCAAGTTTTTAGTTCAACTGGGCTCTACTCTTTCGCACAATTAATCAAAAAACTAAAGGCTCCTATTAAAAATTCTAGATTGAACTATGACAGGAGTATCGCCTTTTGAAGTGCCAATTGCATAGGGCGATCAGGCTAGGTAGAGTCAAAAAGGCTTTGATGACTCAAGGTTTATATTAGGAAAAGAGAGTTAGGGAAAGGGGGGGCGGCCCTCGCCCCAACATCCAATTTGCTCTAACAAACAAATGTGGTTTTGTAGTCAAAGTAACTATGTAACTTTCGTATACCTATCAGATGGCTGCCCTTTTGAGGGTTCTTTAGGGACCGATTTACTCTGCGTAGATTGACTAAATATAGAAATCATATTTTTCACAATATTCCTCGTTACTCATGTCAGCATTTTTACTTCTGATATCTCCCAAATTTTTAGCTCAACTGGGCTTTGATTGAACTAAGGTGCAAATTCAAGTTATATTAAAGCGGAGAGGTTTGGGTGAGATATGATGTTAACTCGAGTTCGATTCAAGTTAAAATTTTCATCCCAAATTCTATCCATTCTTAGTCTTTTCATACATGAGTTGTACAATTCAAGTTCAAATCGAGTTCAATTTTTTTACTTAAAAAACGGGTTTAATACAAGTTTAATTTTGGATTTATATAATTTTGTACAACAATCGGATTCAATTCGGGTGCAATCCAAATTCACTGTTTCAAATTGGGTTTGGATTTGGTCTCGAAAATGCAGCACTCCATTTCAAATATTATCTGAATTTAAATTGAGTTAAAATCTTTGTTCAAGTTCAACCAAAACATTTAAAATCTCTATCTAAATACTACATTATTTATTCATTATTGAATTGGCCTTTTAACAACCAGTTTACAACCCTGTGATGTACAGATCAAAGGGAAAGAAAAGGAAGCAGATAGGTTGGTACACCTTATTGCAATAGATTTCTCAAACACCATGTTCGGTTGGTGTATTATAGAAAGCCTGGAGGGGTGATTCAAGAGACATAGTGCCTTCTTTGTTATTAATCTTCAACATTTTATCCCATCCTCTTTGCAAGAAAGCTAAAGGGTATGCATCAAAACAGTGCTCAACTACACGTCACAACCACATTATACACGATTTATATATGACAATAATCTGACATGATTTACGAAAAGATGGGTCGAGTATGATTGCCCGAGGTGCTTGACACTATTCATTCTCAGTCCTATGTTTACAATCGTGTATATATATATATATATAGATACACCAGATATGCATCACGTGCGTTGCACGTGAATAATTTTCGTACATAAAAGTTAATAAAATATATTAGGTATATATGTATTTGAATGAAATATCATCTCAAATTCTCAAATTTATAAATTTTAATTTTTTATAGCTCATATTCTATTATAAGATTATGGAAATTTTATATATTCCCAAAATTCTTTGTTTTAACTATAAAAAAATAAAAAATTTAGTTAAAGTCCTATATTTTTAGAATTTTGTGATTAAGAATGATTTTTTTAGTGATGTTTGAGAAATTAAATTGCTTGAAATTCATTTGATTAAGATTTCAATTATAATTCATTGAATAAAATAAAAGTAATTGTTAATATACTTATCACATTGGAACCTTACTGCAATTAAAAATAATTTAGGTCAATTGGAATAAGATTTAATATACTACTCTATAATTTATATTATCAAATATCTTAAAATTCTAAATAATTTAAGTTTTACTTAAAAATACACTATGATATTTATTTTTATAAAAAAAAATCTTGATACAACTTATAAAGTTTAGGATAAATTACACTGACATCCCTGTAGACTGGTCTAATTACAGGTACACCCCTTAATATTTTGAAATTATACTGACATCTCTTATTGTTTACCTACCCATTTCATAAAATATTCTTATAGTTAGCATCGTTATTGGTAATGTCAAAAAAGTGATTACATCATCAACTTTTTATACTTTAATACTCATATTACCCCTAAATAAAATTAGGTTAACCTATTTATTTTCGTATTATGTTCGTGTTCGCAATCATGTTTCTTTTTATATCGTGAAATCTCTCCAAGGTAAGGCTATTTTGGACCCATTCTTGCGAGAGTAAACCTTGGATACCTACAATTACCTGCAAATTATAGGTGTCAGTTAAGTCCGAGAGTCAAACCTCTAACGTTCGAGTCTATCGTTTGTTTGGGTTCAACTCCACACCGCTTCCCGCACAGGTGTGTTCGTATTCGTGTTGAATCATATAAACTTCAAATAAAAAAATTTAACTTAAGATTTAAGTCTAAGGTTCTATTATTACTTAATTGAATCCATTCTCATCATTTTTCTATAAACTAAAAATTAACTTAATAAACATAGTAATAATAATGAGTAAAAATATATTTTTTATACAATAATTATGTTAGTACTTAATAAACAACAACAAATAATTAATATTTTATTTTTATAATATCAGTTAAACATATAGATCATTTCAATTCCGTGTTATTCGTGTTAATATACAAACAATAAAATAGAGAAAATTCGACACGATTAAATAAAATGGGTTGATCGTGTTAATTTCAGGTTTGACAGGTTGAACCCGAAAATGACCCATTTATTAGTATTTAATTATATGAGAGGATGATAAGTAAAAAATAATGTATGTTAAGGGTAATTATGAAAAATATATTTGTTAATGGACAAGACTTGACATGAGGATATCAGTGTAATTTCAAAAAATTGAGGGGGTGTCTCTGTAATTAGACCAATCTATATGAGTGTCAATGTAATTTACCCTAAAATTTATTGTGACTGAAAAATTATATAGATATAATATAAATTGATTTTAAAAAATTATATATATGATTATTTTTTATCTTAAAAATGAAAGGGTTCAACTTTTTGATGAAAAATAATATATATATATAAGATGATGAGTAATATTAGAAAGATAGAGTTTTTCAAGTTTTTTGGAACAATTTATTGAAAAAATAAATGATAAATATTTTTTTAAGAGTAATATAGTTAATCAAAAAATAAATATTTATACATAAAGAATAAATAATTAAAAGAGATGTTATAGTTATTTTAGAGATTTAAATATATAAGAATATGATAGTAACTTAGATATTTAATTGTGAAATGATAGAGTGGTCTTTACAATCTTTTATAAGAGTAAAATAGATATTCAAAAGTTTTTCATCTAATATACTTTTATTAGGAGTATAGATATCGCACTCTATACTATACTATTTTTTATAAGAGTAAAATATTATGCGTATTTTAACTAATCTTCCCGTCAATCCAATTTGGTAAGAGGACTTCATTAAAATTGGATGAACACAATTTCTATGCATTGTATGACTTTTCAGATCTTGAGTTGTCTGTTTTTAGGTTTCATTTGTTTATACACCGTTTTATATTAAGACTTACGTTCCTTTGTCATTAGATTAACAGTACACCGCATTATTAGTTAAGACTCTGCTATGAAATCAATAACTATAATACAGACAAAATAATTTATTTTTTTTGATCAAAAACAAATTAAATTCAAATAACAATTTATCAAATATTAATATAGTAGATAGATTATTTTCAGACATTTATTCTAACTTCAATAATGTGACATACATTGACTAAGTATAATCAAGATCCAATAAATAAATAAAAATAGTACCATGCACGAGGCTCTCGCCTTTGACAAGATATGTAAGAATTAGGGAAAATATTTGAGTAGTAATAATTTTTACATATTTAGCCGTAACAATTTATGTGGCTAAAAGACTAATTTCTTATGGCCGACATCGACAGTGACACGTTAAATCAGAAAATTTAGTTTCAATAATATTTTCCTAAATCAAAAGTAAAAATACTTGATCTACAAGCTCTCAACCTTTTCCTTTTCTTTAAAAAAAGTTTTACCACCTCATAAACACAATCTAAGAATAAAACTGATCAAGAAACTGTTTTTCGGTACTCAAAACACAATTTAGGAATATTGTTACTGTAGGATTTAGAGTGTCGTGGAAATACTATTTTTGCAACTCGAACCTTGACACTCAAGAATAACTTTGCGGTTGCGTCAAGTCCAACCCTCAAACATTGTCAAAGAATGAAAACTGAAAATTCACTGCATTCAATCAGCCAAAGTCTTCAGAATTATTAAAAGACTAAGTCAAAGCCATAAGGCCCCAGCTTCTTTTAAAATGGGCACCAACTCACCAGAGATATGAGTGGCCATGACTCTTTCTATCCCTCCAAACAGCTTCCCACCAACGAAAACCGCCGGAAACTTTAGCCGGCCGTCGTTCCCTTTACCGTCATCGCCTATAATTCTCAACAATTCGCCGATAACAGCAGCTTCATCTTTCTCATCAACATCAAAAATGGTGGGGTTGACACCAAGCCCTAGTAGTAAACTTTTCACAACATGGCACATGCAACATCCACGTCGGCCAAACACTATCACAGCATTCTCTGACACCTGCTTTTCTACACTTGTGACACTGTTACTATTACTTTTCCCTGTGATGGTGGGAAGGTCGCCGGAGCTTCCTGTGGCTGTGGCGGTGGAGGGAAGCCAAACCCCGCAGGGGAGTTCTCGTTGCATGGTGTGGAATAGAGAGAGAGAGATTGGAAAGGGGTGGTGGTGATTTTATGAACTTCATGGGTGGGGAGTAGGCTGTCTTTAACGTCAATGGGTGTGACGCAATGTTGGACGTCACTTTTACTGTTGAACGTGTCACTACGTCATTAATTTGAATTTTTTTTTTTAATATTTATATATATATATTAGGAGGGTAGAGGAAAATTTAAACCATTGACCTCAGGAAGATAAAATCTTCAGAAGATATTAAGTACCATTAGAGCAAAAACTTATTGGTACATTAATTTGAATAAGATTATTATATATTTTCAATATTATACCAAAAAATAATCGAACCATAATAAAGTAAAAAAATATAAAAGTGAGGTATTTATTTTTTGGTGTTGTGCCATTTTTTAATTTTTTTAATGTAACGATCAAGGATGTTAAATTAACTTATGCGCACGTCAACTAATTCATTCTCAGTCCGATTAAAGACAAATCATTCATGTCGAGAGTAGGATATTTATGAGAAATAAATTCATTATAACCTGACTACAAAAAATTATCAAATTTTAAACTCAAAACGACTAAATTTATAGATCATTCCTATTATCACTTGAGTTGTCTTCTAATTTTTTTTTTTAAGATGACCTTCTATTTGAATATAGGGGGGAAAAAGTCAAACAAATAGAAAACAAAAACTTTCTTTTAATTTGCAATTTTTCTTTTGGCTTGACAATAATAGAGACTGTTGAAAATAACAGTCAATGAATGAGATTATCAAATTTAATTTTTAAATTCATTTAGTATTACTATTATATTAATTACTTTTGTAAGTTTTACTCTTGTCTATTAAATATTTCAAATGATTTGTTGGTGAATGATTTCATAAAAAATAAATGTGATTTTAGATAAAATCGTCTCATAAAATTTTACTAAACCCATAAAAGATTCATTTATAATCATGTATAAGTGGGTTTATATATTACATAAATATTGTAAAATCGATTTTATAATGATTTATTTACTAAATGAATGTGATAGATTAATCTTGGTATAATCAAATTAGTTCACAACAAACAACTGCAGGGATGTTGACCACCGCTCTTATCTGTCGGTCTATGACCTTTAGTTTTTCTTGTGCATATTTTAATTATTTTATTAATGATAGTGAAATTCCGTCGTAAGACTTACAATAATAAATTTTTTGGTATTTCGATAAAGTATAACACCTCCTCGTGACCTTATTCGATTGGTGTTAATATGAAAAAAAATGCTTAATTTCTAAGTTAAGATTAGGCGATCTCTTGCTCCTGTTATTCTAACTCGATGTTCTTGTTAGATGAGTTTTATCTCAGAAGACAGTCAATCCAAATCCAAAAATAATTGTCGGCTTCACTTAAATTCCCGCCCTCAGTCTAAATGGACACGCTAATTGGCACTATATTTCAAGGGCTGGGAGGTTTATACACTAGTGGTTCTCTCCATTAAACCCGAATTTAACCTTGCACACTATAACAATTAAGTTTTTTTAGTGAAAAAATAAATTCGTATTTCGTCACTAAAAAATTTCAGCGATGATTCTTCTGATGTCACTAGGTGATCATTTGTCGCTAATTTAAATGGATTGCTACCTCACATGTTAATGATCCACGTTAAATGGAGCATATGAATGGATGCGTTGAAGTTGGAACATTTTGAAGCGGACAAAACCTTCTAAATTAGAACCAACAAAAATCCATCGAATAATGGTCCCAAAAAAAATATTAAAACCCATTATTAATTGAATAATAATAAATAAGTAAATTAATAAATTCTGTACGAATAATATTTCTTATAGAACATTTTTGTTCAAAGATGGCCGAGAAAAAATCTCGAAGATAATTTAAGTGATAACAGAGACGAGCTGTCAACTCAGATTTCTTGAATTCAAATCTTGACAACTCTTTGATTATTCTCTGTGAATAATCTAATTCTGACGTAGATAATTTATCTTTAATTAAATCGATGATGAGATTAATAAAAATGTGTGTAAATTGACCGAGACACACCAAAAAAAAAATATGAATGAGAAGTGAGAAAGGTGGCGCAATTTTCGTGGCTGATTTGCAAAAGTTCATGGGTTATGGGCCCACAAACCTTAAGGAATCCACTCCACCGACCCTATGAGGGTGGAAACAGTGTGACCATTATTTTAGTCAAAAGTTTACACAATTATTCCCTCTTTTTCCACCCAAGGTGTGGGACCCATCAAGTCCAAATAAAGATATTTAAAATTATATAGTATTCGATAAGCTATTCAAAAGATTAAGACTAGGCCTTTCATGAAATTGCGGAAAATAAATAAAATGATTAATCTCAATTTATACTCTGAAATATCGTTCAAATATTAATTTATACTCTTAAAATTTTAAAATATCAATTTATATTCTGAAAGATACAAACTCGTATTAATGTGCACATAAAATTAATTCGATCCATTTTTTTGTTAAAAAAACTTGGGTTTATTATAAATTATACCCTCCGAGTTTAAATATTTTATATTTATGATTTAAAAAAAAATTCATCTATTAATGGATGAAATTTTTTTTGGATAATAAATATGAAATATTTAAATTTTGAGGGGTATAATTTATAATTTATCTAAACTTTTTTAACTGCAAAATAGATGGATGATAGTTTCAGGTGCCCATTGATACGTATTTATATCTTTCAGGGTATAAATTAATATTTTTAAACTTTGAGAGTGCAAATTGAGATTCAAATGATCTTTCAGGATGTAAGTTCAAATTAGTCTTAAATAAAATGAAGATCAAGTATTTTTGTTCATATCTATGTGCACCAAATTTGTGTACCTAAATTTACATCAAATCAAATGCAATAAGACACACTGATCCAACGCCTATAAGTGATTTGATGTAAATTTTAGTGTATATTTTTTGTGCACATAGTATTATTCATAGGTATTATGTGATAAATTTATAATAAAAAAATATTTAACAATTTAGACGTTGTCTGTTTGAGGTAACACATAAAAATATATTCAATAATTCACTGACTAAAATAATATAATTAAAATATTATGGTCAAAATGAACACTTTTTATACTTTGGGGACTTTCAAATGCCTAAGACCAGGTCTTTCATGAAATACTGAAAAAAGATTAGTTTATGACTGCAAATATGAAATAAATAAAATGTGTAATGGAATAAGTTAAAATTAAGGGTTGACAAAGACACAGTTCCTACTAACCCAATAGGGGAGACTAAGCAAGGTCTTATCTCTAAATATGGTTTTGAAATATATATATAAAATATTATAACTAAGAAGTATATATAGATTATAAGTAAGAAGTTGAATTTCTACTTATAAAACACAATAATGACTACGTGTATTAAAAGTTTGCTTTGAAATTATTAATTTAAAAGACTCGTGGATTGAAAAATTTTCCCATCAAGAAAAGAAGTGAAAATATGAAAATACAAAAATTAATGGTTATTTTGTATTTTTATCCAATTTAATCGAAAGATCAAAAACTCTTTCACATTCCTATTAAATTTTTTCGACTAGCCATTCAATGAAATCGGGTAAGATAAGAAATTGTGGCTAATCCAAAATTTGAATACCACTGATAAGGACTTTACCTAAATGGGTAAAAATTGAAGTTCTTACCATCTCGCTCCCTACACTTGGTCACTATACTAACTTGGTTTTATGGACCGTACTTTCTCATATATTATCTGTTAAAAAAAATAATGTTATTTGAATTTAATTTATTGATTTAATCATTTATAATTATTAGATTGGTAGCGGATCCTAGTATATGTTGGAATCCACAATCAATTTGATGGTTGTAACATATTTAAGTTAACAAATTGAGCAATATTATTTGGACATAAAAATCTGACCTAATTTATTGACATAATGATGTGACTTTAATAGAACCATTAGATCAACACCACGTTTCAATGTTTGATGGGCTTCATAGTTAATCTAAAAGTCACAGTGAATTAGGTCAGTAAATTAGGTCCCAATAGCATTGCTCTAACAAATTATGTTATAATTTAAATTCAAATAATATTATTGGGAAAAAAATATCTTATATATTCATGAATGAACTTCACATTAGCACTTCGGCTTTGAAAAAAACAGAGGCACTCGGCTTGCCAATCAATATGGGTATTCGGGTGGGCCGGTTAGTTTTACAGCCCAAGTAGAGGTGCAAAATGAACCGGGCTGGCACGAGTTGAATATGGCATGGCAAGACACAAGCCAGTTGCCACATGTCAGGCCCATAAATCCAGCCCATTAGTGCTGGCACAGCACGGGCATGGCTAAGGCACGCCCAATAAAAAATTTTATTGTGAGAATTTGGCCCAAAATCACAAATATGTGTCTCCCAAAAACTATATCACAATTACTTTGAGGAGTAAATTTATTTTTATATCTATGCCTGTGACCTATAAATCTTGGATGGTCTTATGTGTTAATAACCCAAAAAATTGTAATGAATATTTATTTACTTTGTATTAAAGAACATATTCACCTTCTTTAGCTGAGAATATAGATGTATTTCAAATTTCATTAAAATAAAATAATAACATAAAGCAAATTTTCAAATAGCATGGCCTTGCAACCCACCACAAATATAGGCACAATTCAAAACACGAGCACAACATAGCACGATCATGAACTAGACTCCCAATTGCACGACTCCAACACGGTCCGAAGTGGGGCGTGCTAGAGCACGACTAAGCACGAGAATATGATTCAAAAATCTTAAAACTTATTGGGTACATAGATTCATTGATATTTAATAGTGTAAATTTAGAATTTTAAAAAATAAATCACTACACATATATGTTAGAGAGTATTACTCTTCAACATCACATAACTACCTGTAAGAGACTCCACCACACTTAGGTTGGAATCGAAACCAAGACTCACCGCATGTTTCGAGTGCTAAAGAGAAGGTAGAAGGTAGGTGCTATAACTATAACACTTTAAACCCAAACATATAGCAAAAAATTTCGAGTTGCTACCCATTAAACCAACGTTGGTTAAAATGTTTTCGAGTACAAATTGGTATTCTCCGAATTTTTGGCTATCAAAAATTCATAAACTTCAATCACCTCAATGCTTCACCTCGCAAGTCACCCCACAGCCATGGCTTCCATAGTTATTTGTTCCTCTAACCCTTCCCAGAGGCTTCTTCTTATGCGAATTGTGTCGATGCAATGGAGTCGTATTGGTGTCAAGGAAATGGAGAAGCAACACCATGCTAACAGAGGTAGCGAACATGGGTATCGGACCAAATAACCATAGCAGCAAGGTGGTAGCCAAGTAGAGTGCTCTAAGCCCAAGAGACCAGAAATCACCTGCTCTTATGATCGTCGATTCAATGGATTTAATTGGTACATCGCTATCTGGTGTGCTAATTAGATAGTTTTGTGTGGATAAAGTACCTTGATGATTGAACAAAGCAAGAAAAAGCCAAGAGGAAGCATATGAGGAGGCTAATGTACTTGATGGCCATGGTGGATGGCCTTGTGTCGCCATAGATTAACTCGCTCTGGAAGATAGTGGAGTTGTTTGCTATCCAGGCTCCGATGAGAGAGCAGAGAATTAGGGAGATTGATGCTAAGACAGTTGCCGCGGAGGTGTTTGATGAAATGACGATGATAACTGGGTTGAGATCCTTCTTGTCAATCTGCAAAATCCACTAAATGTAAGGCAAATTAAGTAGGATTTGGCCTAGGTATGCGAAGAAAAAGAGGGGAGAAAACGGAGAGACTTGATCACCTGCATAATTCTCTCAACCCAGGCTTTCTTGTCATTGTTCTCAAAGCCAATGACTGTGGTGTGAGGCAGATTGAGGCATCTGTAGAGCAGGAAGAGATGGTAAGCAAACATGATGAGGAGCCCACTAGGGACCAACACCAAGTCGAGGTGTTCCTTTTGAAAACTCATCATATTTCTCTTGTATCACAGTGCGGGGATTGGAATATGAATCTATGCTAGAGTGTGTGAACTGATTATCAAATCTCACTTGCAAATTCATCAAAAAAAATCTTACTTTTGAAGCAATTGGATTGGATAGTAATTGTGATGTGTTTAAAGCAGACTCTGACTTTTCGTAGATGGGTTGGAAAGACAACTTGTCATGTTGAATTTCCTTTTATTGTGGATCTGGTGGCCTTCTATACGATGAATTAGCAGGTAAGAGTCAACATTAAACATTATAACGAATTCTTCGCTTAATATAATGTACTCCTGGATCGTGGTTGGTTCTAGAAAAATGGTCACACACAAAATCTAATGGACATACATTTAGTAGCATGAGATCTTAAATATTAGCAACAAACCTCCTACCAGAATTGTTTGACTGACTGAGGTTATTCATTTTACCATCTTAGCTTTGTTTTCATCTAAATCATGGTCAAAGTCAGGCAAATTTGTTTAAACACAAAAGAAATTGAGAGAGAGGCTCTCCGACTGGCCAACCCAACCACCCCACCCCTCTAATCCGGTTCTGTCAACCTACAAGTCTTCCTTGGCGGCTGGCTACCAGACCCTCCACCCCGGAACCCATTCCAGTACCCCCCGCCACCTTACCTCTCCTCTCCTCCTCCCCCAAACCAAATTCACAATCCCATCCCAAACCAAACTCTCTCCCCTGAACCACCACTCCCCCAAATACCCGAAACTACCAACCCCAACTCTTTGAACCTTTCCCTTCTGTGCAGAGTCTCAAATATCAAAACCAAATCCTCTCTCTCATCTTTTAATCAATGTATAAGAGTTCTCTCTCTCTCTCTCTCTCTCTCTCACACACACACACACATTTGTTTTGGTGGCGTTGTGTTTTCTCTCTTTCCATCATCTGTGAATGTGCCCCAATGTGTGCAGATAGGTATGTATAGTTGTTTTTGGTGCATATTTTTATGGCATGATGATTGGGGGCCAATTTCTCTTACTTGCTCAGTGTGCCC